AATGTAGTTCAGGTGAATTTGATTTTATTATTTTTTTTTCTGCTTTCAGCTACTTTAGCACTGGATCGATGGCATAGTAGTAACCTTGTCTGAAAATTTCATCAAAATCCGACAAGTAATTTCGAGGTCAATGTAGATGTCATATGACATCCAAGAAACATAATATCTCATTTGTCGCGATTGCGCTTGTGGCGTAGTGACGAAACTAGAAATGCTTTGTAAAGAACCATATTTATACAGTGTGTATCCTCGCTTAGTTGATACCTGTAACGTTGTTTATAATACTGCAAAATATGAAAACATAATTACTGTTTTCAAACATACCGTTGACCACTGAAGTGTTATTGTTACTCTATTGTACGATGGGTGCTCAAACATCTTTTTTCAACGTTATACGATGTAGTTCATTGTTCATTGTGGTCGTTTGGTCTTTTGTGGTCTGCTAACGACTTTAGAAGTGGCTTGTGTCACGACTGTAAGCTTACCTAGAATACGAATATATTACCTTTTCTCATGTTTTTTTTTATATACTGATCCAGCCACGTAAGGAGAAACCTAAATACACAGGATATCGCGACAGCTATGTTACTTGTTGATTTCCAAAAATGTTTTTTTTTCATCCAAGCATAAAACGTATTTAAAATAACAGAACATGTATTTGTATTTTATTTTAATAGCACATTCTGGTAAGGTCTATTTTGAAAATACCATTTCGACATTGCTGATTTGTTCATAAAAACGTGAATATTCTTGATCATTTAGAACAACAATCATGATATATAGTATTTATGATACCAAACCAACATCTCATATCTGTATTATTTCTATATAAACGTGTTCCTGTTTCTAAACCGTGCATTATTTTGTATTCTTCAAAAAGTCAGTCATCTCGAAGGGACGTAAAAGCTTGCTTCCTGGACAGCTGCTACGCCTTTTTATGTGGAGACCCTCTTCACATTGACTTGGACCTTTTTATCGATTCTCCGATCAAGTAAGTGCCAGCCAAATGGTGGAATGCTATTTTATCACAACATTGGCCGCAATGTGTATAAGTATCTGTTTTTTTGGGGCCTATAACTGTCAAATTTATACGAGGGAAGCTTCAAAACTTCGTCCTCCACGAAAAAGCTTTCTCGATTCAAGAACACAAACTCTTATAATATGTCTTTGATTCGAGATCGGGTACTTGAGAATTAATTGAAGAATGGGTTTCTACCGATTGAAAAATGATTGTTTTTGTAGTGTAGGTACTTAATATGGCTGAACTATGCTTTATCGCATATCGCAAATATTTCATTTCTTATTTTAAAATGAAATATAATTTTTCCTTTAAGGAACCCTCTGCTTGCTATTTTATAGGGTGCTAATACTGTGATATAGAATACTGCTTTATAAGCTGTTTTCTTCTTGTTTATACAAAAGATTGTTCAAAATTATATCAATATAACATACATTGTAAGTTACTGTGATACTGTTCATCGGAATAATGCAATTTTGCATTATTTTAATGATGAAAATAGTTCATTGTTAGGTAGTCATTTCTTTTATCTCAGATAATTATTCCCATCACTACACCACCGTCACTGTCATATTCTCTCCATCTAGTTGCGATGTTGCCAAATCATGGATAGTAATATACCTTAATTTTGTTTGTCAAATTCTTCCTTATATACTAGAGCAAAAATGTGCAATCGGCACAGGATTGTCATGGAAATGCGATTTGGAGGTGTTGGCGGTAGGCTTTACTGTACTAAATCCACCTTGTGCCCTATGGTAGCGTTAGCTAATTAGACTTTTTTAAGAACGCCTGATGCCGTTCACAAAAGTACTTCAGTTATTGTTTTTCCTATATTATAGTTATAATCTACTTACCTTTTGTATGTATGTACTTGAAGAATTATTTAAAGTGAAGCTGATGTTACAAAATGTACCTAATTAAATGTGATATATATGAGAAATAGCTGAAAAAGTAGCTGTTGCAAATCACTAAATAATGAAAACACAACAAAGAACATTGCAAATTTTTTGATGATTTGATAAAACGATCGTTAATCTTTACTTAAATATAATGTTGCACGATGTTATGTGTTGTGGACCTGACGAGGTGGTTCAAATCGACGAATCGACGGGTATGATTATATGCAATGACCGCTGGTGCCTTTTGTATATTTTATGTCACGTGAGCCGCTGGTGCATTTTTCACTGTTTAGACACATGCTGTTCAAAATTTCATCTGGTTTTCAGTAAATATTGGGACAATTTTTCGTAAAACAAGCCATTTACAATAAATTAAGACTTTTATTTATTTATATTTCTTATAAACGCAAAAACTTTGAACTCATTGAAAATACGCGAAAAAATTGGTTAAGGAATTGCAAGAAAACATTGAAAAATCACAAAACAACACCTCTACACAGTTTACCAAGTAAATACCATAATTATGTGTATTCTGATCTGTTATTTAAGCTAATAAGCTAATGTGTAATAACATGTCTGGTTTTGAACCTTTTTTGCAAAAAACAACGATTTTTCACAGTTTCACATCTATTCTCCTTAGTACTATAGATTGTATGTTATATTTTTATAAGTTAAAGCATCCTTTTATACAAAAAGCAAAAAAGACAGCATATAAAACAGTATTCTATTCTAGAGTATAACCACCAAAAGTGCAACTTCGAAGTTCTATAAAATAGCAAGCTGAGAGTTCCTTAAAGAAAAAATGATATTTTCGTAAAAGGTACATCCTAATCTTTCATTTTTAAGTAAGAAATGATGTATTTGCGATATGCGCTAAAGTATAGTCTCAATATCCCTAGAGCAGAAAGTAAGTATATCCAGAAATAAGACAGAAGCTTCTATAAATATTGGTCTGTTACCAAGATTCAGGGTGTTTTGAATTTCTACGCCACTGATGAGACCGAGTCAATTTTGCAATGCAGAAAATTTATGTGAAATATTAAAAAATGCGACGGATGTATCAAAAACGTCAGTTGCGTATAAAAATAATTTTTTATTTCCTCCTTATAAAATTTTACGCCGATTGATATATCTTTTTTTTCGATTTCACCCTGTACCTGTAATTGGGCAGTATAGGATCCATGTTTATAGGAGCTTTTCGTGGCCTTCTTTTTACACCAAAAATAATCTTTAAAACCAAGATTTCTATATCCCTAATGCCTATGTGCAATAGAGAGGGCCTCGGTAAAATTTTTAATAAATAAAATAACTCTGTAATGATCAGTATGAAGATAAATAAATTTTAACTGACTGATTGTATATTGTTTATGAGAGTGAAGTGTTACTGCTGAATACATGTTTGGAGTCATTCTAAACGGCTACAACTATGTGGCGAAAACTTTGCCCCATTTGACCGCTAGGGGTAATCAAACGATGATCTGGAGATATTTACATGTAAAATCGAATCTGGCGTTATCTGCACATCGACGTACAACGTCCTATACATGATAGGTTTTGCATGATCCAGCTTCCATCGATACGCTTCTGATTACCATACGGCATCAATTACAACCTATTCATCTGCCCTTCACAGCTGCGCATCACCTACAATCGCCTATAAATCAGTCAATCGTGTCCTCCGTGACAATAACAAGAAAAAAACTCGGCTCTGATTGGTTCGGTGCGTGCAAGTACCTACGTGTACGTCACGCTCGTCCCTCTGTACTTGCAGCAGCAAGCAATCTGTTCTCATCTTAGTGTGCCATGCTCGAGTCCGCGCTGTCACTCATGCCGTCACTTGTCACTGGCGCGCAAGACAAATGCGCATCGACGATCGTCTTGTGTTTGTTCGGACCGATGCCGACTCAAAGGAGCAGGCGTTTGTAAGGTGACGATACCGGTTGCCTCATTTGGGCATTCAGTCAAGGCTAATCGTCTTAACCCTTTGCAGTCAGGTTCCTTTTTATTATGAAATCGCTTATGTTATATTATAGATGTATAGAATTAGTGCTAGTGTTTATAAAATGACTTTTTAAATGTTTTGTCGTATATTACCACTAGCACTACACAGCGGATTATCATAAGTAGTATAAACAGCAACACTGACTGAGGATATTCGACCTTAGCTTGACCCCCTATCCCCAAATTTGAAAAATCAGGCAGCATTCGGATCGGTAATGTAATTAATTAAGGTATCCTCACTAACCTTAGATACTATTTAGAGTAAAACGGGGAAATATGCCGCGACGGGTAATACGCCTCACTTCGCTCATAGTTCACTCCGACTGTTACAGAGGGCACCTACCACATTAATATGACGCCATAAATGCAAGTAAGCCTGTTACCTTTGAATGTGTGTTAATTACTTGATTTAGTGTAAGATAGACCCAAAAAACCGGTAAATACAAACCAAAAATTATTTTTATATGAGATATGATAAGAGTTTTTCCAAGTTTTCGTGGTCCGATTTAAATAATCCTTATTGCTAGGCAAAGTAAAATCCATAACCTAACATCTAACACATGTACCGCTTCCTGGATTTACATGGAGTTTGTGCTTTTTAGTTGAAATGTTACAGTTGCGCAGTGGGGCAATATGCCGCATAAAAGTGACGGTGCGGCATATTACCCCATTTACTTGTTTCATGTGACAGATCCTAATGTAGTGCGTTTTTCTGCTTATTTCAGATTAGCACAATGCCACGTTCTTATATTCGAAGAAATGTAAGAGTTCAATGGTCAGAAGAAGACCTCCGGAATGCAGTATCTGATATTCATGGAGGTAAAGGATCGGTTTGAGAAATAAGTCGTACTTATAACGTTCCAGTTAGAACCTTAATGAGAAGAATGCGGTCGAGAAACTTAAATAAAGTGGCATTAGGTCGCAAAAGCTTACTCAATAAGGTACACGAAACAAGTTTAGTCAAATATATACAAAACATGACATCGCACGGCTTTGCTTTATCTGCTCATGATATGAAAAAGCTTGCATATTCTTTCGAGATCCAACAAAATATTCCACATAATTTTAATACCGAACGAAAAAGGCCAGGTCAAGATTGGTTTCTCGCCTTCACGAGACGACATCCTGAACTGGTAGTACGTAAGGCTCAAGGAATGTCTACTGCCAGAGCCAAAGGCAAGAATGTACCCAATATTTCGAACTGCTAGGAAACGTTTTGAGAGAAAATAATTTATTAAATAAGCCTCGAAACATTTTTAATCTCGATGAAACTGGATTGCAGTTAAATAATAGTCCAGGCAAAGTTGTGGTAACTAAAGGCGCTAAAATGGTAAACTGTATCACAAGTGCTGAAAAGGGAGAAACTATTTCCGTTATAACGTGTGTAAACGCAGAAGGCAGTTTTTTCCCCACCCTGCTGTATATTCAAAGGGAAAAACAAAAAAAAGGAATTTGAAGATGGTCTACCACCTGGAGGAAAGGTTGTTATGAGCGAGAGCTTATGTCACATCTGAAATTTTTTCCAATGGTTTCGTGAATTTTTTGTTCCGCGGAAAGATGCCGGTAAGGTTGTATTAATTATGGATGGACATTCTTCGCACTGTTCTAATGTCGAACTGTTTTTACTGTAGCGAATAACGTCATCCTGTTTTGTTTGGCCAGCCACACCACACATTGGCTTCAACCGCTTGATCGCCCATTCTTCAAACCCTTAAAATCTTATTGGGCTCAAACTTGTCAAAACTGGGTTCATAACAATCCTGGTCGAAAACTGAACCGATTGCAGTTCGCCCAAGTTTTAAATATTGCCTGGTGTAAGGCTGCAACAATTCAAAATGAGACTTCCGGTTTCAGAACCTGTGGGATTTACCTTTTAATCCTGAAAAAATTCCTGATTATGCTTTTACCATTAACGACGAACCATCAGCTGAAGACAAACACAACCCACAAGACATTCTCAGTGAGGAGCAAAACGACCACAGACCAGGTAGTGTCATTGCAGTCAAGAACCCCGCAAATAGAAACCCCTTTGAAGCAATTTCACCGGTTCCATGCGTGGAACCAGGAGCAAGTGGCTACAGATGAAAACAACATGCCGAAATACTAACTTCGCCAGAAACAATTTGCGCAAAACGAGCAAAGGAAGAAGTAAAAAAAAAAAAACTAACATTAATTTTTCATTTAGATTCACACCCTTAAATATTCACATATCATTAAGGAACACCCTGCAGAAAGAACGATGATGAAAGAAGAATGATATCATCCTTCCCCATAACACCTCGCTTAACCCGTTTCGGAACCTCTAAACATACCCTGAACGATCTCTTAATACTCCCCACTAAACCAAAAATTCTTTTCTCACCTTCCACGAGATTAAACATAAAAATCCCGTGAAGTGCTTTATGACATCCATTGTGACCGAAAGTTATTTCCTACTAATGCCATCAGCTGTTCCACGTTTTTTACGACGAGGCAACCGTCAAGATGGAAGGGCCTTACCTAATCTGACAAGTGAGCGCTGCCACTAAGCAGGTGGTTCTTTGAATTAACTCTGGGGACCTGTGACCAATCGGTAAGGCAAACATGGCAGGCTGAGGTAGGTTCTTTAATGAATGAACAGTAAAAGTAGCACCAAAAAGGAAATAAATTTATGGAATAGTAAAGTGGGGTATGGTTCTGGGTTTAACTTGATTAAGAAGCCGATAGAAATACAAACAGAAGTGTGTGATGTCTAGTTTGATTATACTATTCACTTACTTCGTTAGATTTCAATTGCTGGTATTCAGTAGCTTATTTTAAGATTTATTGCCCTGGGACTCTAATATTTGCCATTCCATAAAGCACCAGAAAAAAAAGCATAAGCTTTTGATTGAGGCGACACTCGGAGTATGCGGCCCCTTTAGGCTGTAGGGTAAATACAGGTCATTGAGACAATGATATAGCTGCTTGGAGTAGTATTCTAGCTTGCAGCCCCCATCAACCCAAGTGTGTATCCAGAAAAATGTATGAGCCTACTTGACTGACTTGATCTATCGAATTCCTTTGATATACGTGTGCGTAGTTAAATTTGTTCTGATAGTCGCTTGTCCTGGACATAATATTTTATGAACTGTTGACACTGCCGTGGAGAATAAATCTACCTGACTCCGTTTTTTTTTTCTTTTTCTATTATAATTTACAAGTAAACATTCTTATTATTGGTGGTATAATACAATGTAAAACACGAGCATCTTAGACTATAAACACCAAACAGTATACCTCATCGCAATGGTCTAGTGACCAAGGTGGGAACCAGTTGCTTCTTCGTCTTCGTAGTGGCAAGCGGTGCGTTACGGAGTCAAAGGTAAGAAGTTCGAAGGGGGACTCGAGGTCTTGACATGTCATGTGTGCAGTGCGTAAGACAATGGGATAAGGTCGGTAGATGGGCAAGACAGGTTCACACGGCGATCACCCAGCGTGGAGATCACGGATCACTACTGCCCCATATAATCAGGATTTTAACGGCGGAGGAACGGTGATTAGAGACACAGTGGCTTGCGGAAAGGTTCGTAGACCTGGAAAACTAGTTTCAGGTTTCAAATTTGTACATTATGGATCTTTTTTTTTTTACTGAAGCAGTCACGTAGTCAGAAACCTAAATACCGAGCAATGCTAGAAGTAGCCCTGTAAATCCAATTTGTGAACTTAAAAAAACCTCGTCATTCATAGACTGCTCCAGAACATTGACACCCTAGGAATAAAGGAGTGGTTGTACTGGCCAGTTCTCGATGTGCAAAATTCGATATAGTTGGGTTAGGAGTCAGAAGCCTGGCGGACCTTATAGGCTCAACGCTTGGCGGCATCATCGAGGAGACCTCTGAGGAGGAAATCCTGTTGACATATCGGTACAAAAGAGCGACATCGTCAACCGCCCATCACGTCGGTGTGATTGAGTCCCGTGACTGTCCGTTAGAGAAGTGTCATTGACCAGTCCAACAACCCTGCTTTGAGCAGCATTAAGTATAGACAATGTAATTGGGGTGGCAGAACCCCAAACATGTGAGCAGGGCTCGAGGCTATGTCTTATTTTGGCAGAGTGAGGCGGTTGTGTGGAGACAAGTACTTCGACCCCTTATCAAAAGTATGAGATGAAATGGTTTCCTGGTAGAAATAACCAAGATAAATTTTAAAATAAAACTTTGAGATAAAGGAGTCTTGATTACATACTTGAATCAAAAGTGGAAACGTATGAAGGAAACATGGTAGACTATACCTAAAACTTCTCTGTATATTAATTTTTATCAAAGCAATCCAGTATACGTATATTGGGAATAGAAATAATAAAAAGAGAACAAAAATGGCCCCTGTTATTGGCCCTGGTAGATCTATTCAGAGGAAAGAGTACATAGTATAGGATTTCCATGACTACTGATCTGATATTTCGTCTCGCATTCTCAGGAAGAGCAACGTTACTTCCCGTTTTAGACATCCAAAGGTAACAAACCCGAGAGTACATCGATGACCCCTCTAAAAAAATTATAGTTGTACTTCCAAAGGTTCTTGCTAGTCAAAAAACTAACCCAGTTCTTCACAAACAGCGAAAAAGCTTTTGAATCGTTTTGTCGTATTGTTCATCCACGGAATCTCCTCTAGATCTACTGGTATACCTACTTCTCTGGTCTCGACCACCATAGCGATAAGGCAGTAACAGAAACATTATCTTGATGAAACGACCATGAGAAAAGCACCGCACCGGGTAGCAGCATTAGAAATGCATTTACGCGCAGCAAATGTATGCGCATTTTAAAGCACAATACAGATGCTTTAGATCGATTAATCGGTTAAATGTAATCTTGGTCAGTGCTGTATTGCTGCATGGAGAAAAAGATGATATAGCTAAGCATAAGGCACGTTAAGCATGTGGATTAGTAGAATTCGGGTAATTAGCTTATTCGAGCGTTGATAGCAATTTAGAAATACCATCAATTTGTTGCTTCTCGGTACAAATATTGGTAATGTTACCGATGAAATGCTTCAGCTCGTCCCTGAAAGGAATGTTTCTGAATAAATGTGTTGCTGCTACTTTTTGCACATTTTGCGATAATGAGTTATGGTCAGTTGATCTTAATACATAATTCAGTTTTGCCAATCAGTATTTCCTATTTCTATCATTATCAGACATAAAAACATTATATAAGCCAATATAATTCACAAACAGGTATCAAGTGATGAAAATTCGCACTCTCTCATGATGATACTAGTTTAATAACATTTGAAGTGTTTTCAAAGTTTCTTATATTTTTAGACGCATTCAAGCATAATTCATTGTACTGCGGTTAAAATATTGAACGTCACTAACATAACTTTCCGACTGTTTTCTATCTTTTGTTAGTGGACGACTAATGATGGTAGACAGCTCAAATATAACGTTTTTGAGATTTAGGGACTTGATAATATCGAACCTCCACGTAATAAACGGCCTGCGCCACCAAGGGTGCTCAAACTCGCTCAGTTAAGCGCTGCCAGAATACATCCGCAATGATATTGCGTATCTTGAAAAGTGACATTTCGTCAATTTTTTTCTACATTCCTTAGGTTTTTTGTGATATAGCGTAAACAAGCTGTAAACGTCAGCGAACAGCGATCATAGCGAGCAAACGTGGAACGAACATTTCGTCGTTTTTTAAATTTTTTAGGTCTTTTACGTAATACCCCTGCGGCTCACCGCTGGCCAGCCGCGATTAAACTGCTCAGCTGAGACAAGAGGTAGCTGAGCGGTTCAGCCGCGGCTGTCCAGAGATTTGCGGATGTATTCTGGCAGTACGTATCTGAGCGAGCTTAAGTGCAGTCCGTAGCGCAGACCATCTGTTACTTGGGGGTATTGATAATATAAGTTAAGACAGCTCTTTGAAGATGATCGTTGATCAAAAGTTGCGAATGCCTATCTTTATAAGCTTAGTTATGTTATGCCCCGAATCTAGTCCGTTATCCTGATAGCAAATATCCATTTCACAGAATTTCAAACTTCCTGAAGCTGACCTAATAGAGAGTTTTTTCAATCACAAATACAACATACGCAAACGTTACGCCTTTTTGACGTTTATATGATGTTTAGGTCAGGTACAGGGTGATTCACAAGTCGTGAATAAAAATGAAACATCATACACAGGACCTAATTTTGAGAGGATTCTTCTATGTAACATTTTTTCCTCGAGAGTTTTATTAAAAACATTGAAGTTCCAAAATAACAAACATGATTTTTTAATATCTTCAAAACCGTCACCTGGAATGAACTAAAATTGGATTTACCACATTCAAATTAGTAACTATTTGTAGGAAATTGAAGGTAAAATTCTAAAAATTGCGCATTTCGAAAAAAAAAAGTGTTGTTATTTGGAAAAATAATGCCACTAATCCCCTGTATCTCTGCAACTGGAGCACGTTAATTTTAAGTAACGACTTTTGAATGTGGAGAATACTTAGGTAAATCCACACCCAACACCCCGAATATGTATATTAGAAGCATCCTCACAAAGTAAGTAAAAACAACGGTCCTCTATTACCCAGTCCAAGTGTGTGTGTGTGTGTGTGTGCAAGAGCGAGTAGCAACTACATTATGCAGCCACTTGCGCAATGCGTAATTTCCCTTAGAAGTTGAGCTATGCGCATGGTACCATTAGACAATATGTTCACTTATTTTATATATCACTGTAACATAACCTCTAAAAACAGTGAAAGATAAATATTAAATGACATTAACGTCTACGTAGGCGGTATTTGCTATTGCCAAAACTCTGCAATGGGTATTTCCATTTTTCAAAGAGGTCATACCTTACCGCCGTTTTTTGCCCGTGTATTGGAAAAAATGTACTTGAAATTCTTACATGGCAAGAGGACTCATTCAAGTCCACCTGATTTCTCGTCAAAGAAATGTCAAACTGTCAACGTATACAAATAACGAATAATGATTATTTCCTTTAGCTGACAGACCATGGCACTTACCAGTTACCTACGAACATGTATAACAAGAAACTAAGTGAATCAAAACAATCAGATGAATATACTTAAAATATGCAAAATTAGCAAAATTATGTATACAATTTTGGAAACAAGATATCGATATTCTGGTGTAATAAAAACTTTGTGTTGGGAGAAATAAATAAATGCGCTTTGTCAATCGCTACTTGGTTTGACCAAAAGGTATAATCTTTGTCATCCTGTAAGCCTGTGAGCATTATTAGGCAAATAAGCATTGTAAACAATGTATCTTACCTTGATGTGCGTCATCCGATGGTAATAAAGGTTACTCGACGCCGTGAACCGTTTCAAGCAGACAGGACATTGGTGAGGCTTCTCTCCACTGTGGATCCGTCTGTGAGTATTGAGGGAGGAGGATGTGCTGAAGCCCTTGCCGCATACCATACATACGTGAGGCTTTTCACCTGAAAATGACATTTCTTTAGCTGGTAAAGTTGAAATACTGTATATTTGTACAAGTTGTGGTGCTTATAATTTTAGGCAGCTTTCTTACAAGCAGATGAATAACAAAAAATGTCTAGCATATCGACTTCCCGACTTCCCGCGTATTGAGAAATGCTTGATTTGAAAGCGCTTAATTACCTTAAATTCCTTTGCCTACGCCTGAGAGTGTCCAGAAACGTAAAATATTAATATTTTGAGTACGTTCAAAAGGTAACTTACGAAGCTTTTTTGGCCTGCTAATGTCAAAAGTTCTCAAAATGGGCTCAGCACTTTCCGATTAATAAAGTGGTCAACAACAAACAAAAAATCAGTAACGTGGTCTTGTGTCGTGTAATTTTTTAACAATAATTTCTCATTTTCGAAATTTTGCCTTGTGACTAATTGAATATAAGCAAAAAAATTGATCGGTAACAATTTTATAAATACGATTACAATGAAAGTTAAGTTTATAAACATTTCAAATATTTCGAGCCTCCTTTATTTTTGTTTATATAATACTCCAAAATCATCAGGACCTTGGAAGACAAAGTATGAAGTCTGATTTTTGTTTTGAAATGTCTGAAAGAACCTATTGACTGCCTCCAAATGTGTAAAAAACTAGAAATGCATCTAAGAACAGCGTTTGGTACCAATTTGGCACCTATAGCATTTTTTTAAGATTGTAGGTGTCTTTACTTGATATCAAATAGTTAGGTTAGGTTAGGTTAGGTTTCTTGTGAGTGCATCAATAACGATTCTCCAGTGCGACTCTTTGGTTTATTGTGGCTCACACCTATTTATATTTCCCCCAGTAGCTCCGACCTCCTGAGAAAGTCGATTAACTTGTGTGGAGAACTACATCTCCAAGTATGTTGTACCTGATTCTGGCAATTGCAGGGCATCTCTACAATACGTGCCTGACCGTTTCATCTCCCTCCATGCACTCCTGCACTCAGCGTCTTCCGCCATGCCCAGCCTACTCATGTGGTGACGCAATTTGCAATGACCAATGACCAATTAGAGCTTTGAGGCTATTCCTGTTCAGCCATCGCAAAGAATCTGTTACCTTCTTTGTCAAGGGTATAGTTACCTTAGCATGGGTTAACCCTGCTAATCCCTCTGAATATTGATGGATCTTTCTGTCCATCTCTGCAGAGATTATTTCTTTAGCCGTATTGTATGCAATCCCAATCGCTGGCCCAGGCCCTATGAAGGCTGTCTCCTTTTCCTCTAGATCTGTGTGTCCTGGTATCCATATAAGACAGATTTCATTTCCCTCTCCTATGCCACCGAGAGCTTCTTTGCAATTCCACACTAATTGCGATGTCGAGTAGGTGGAGTCAAGTGCATTAATTGCGGCTTGACTATCTGAAAAAATAATTATAGTTCTGTGACTCAGTTATCGTTCTGCGATCATTCTGGCACCCAGTTCTATAGCATGTAGCTCTGCCTGGAAGATCGATGCCCAGGTTCCTAGGCTAACAGATTTCTAATCTTTAGCTTCGGCACGAAGATACCAGCCCCAACACCTACCTCGATCTTGGAGCCATCTGTGTATGCACATACATCTTTCCTTATCAAGTTAACCTGCTGTTCCCACTCATTCCTGTGTGGAATTGTAACTGAGTAGGACTTAGCATATCTTGTTATCTTTGGCATTATATCAGAAGGCATTCCCAGACTGTGGTGGTTTTGTAAATCCACCAGCATATCCGTCTCCTCCATAGTGATATTGTCCATTATACCATTTGCCATATGATGTAGTCTATAAGATATCCTTCTTGCCTCGCCTTCTAGCTATATGTGCCAGGGGGGTAAATTAAGAAGGACCTCCATAGCTGCAGTTAGCACCAGTGAACTCCGAACACGTTCACTTTTAATTTCAGACTGATATTGACAATTTAATTTTGCGTTTATCTAGTGTGAACTATCTATCGTAAGTGAAATACCTTGAGGTAGGCCAAATAAAAAAAAGTTCCCTAATAAAGAGAAAAGGACATGAAAATAATACGTGAAGAAAGGAAGAAAAATTAAGAATAATAGCTAGACAGGGCAAATAGAAATGAAATGTCCAATAACTTCGCGAATGTTTTATGGTGAATTTTGTACAACAAACTGTACTTTTCAATTGCTTATAACAACACAAATTCCATCACAACCGTTCCAACAGCTACTGAGTTAGTGTCATTGCAACAAAAGTTACAAATGACAGAAAATAACTTGTATATATTTCTAATGCTATTTTATCTCGTTTCTGAAAGGCATTTTATTGGTTCACATAGTAAATAGATGATTCCACTCTGTATTGTGGAAGATTAAAGATGATTTCCTGCTTGCATGCTAACACAAATCATTAGAATTAAATAATTATGAGCAATTTGAACAAAATTCCCGTATTGTTCAGTTGTATACACAATAATTATAGAATTAGGAAACTGAAACATGCCTCTAGTCCTATTGTATTTAAATTGGTTACTTTATTTCTGAATATAACTACTGTGGTCAAGGTTTCACTTCTCGAAGATGGAGAACTGAGATCCCGCAGAATTTTGTTATAGACCTATTAGTAAATGCACTATGGGTTACACTGCTTATTTTATATTTGATTTGTTTCTCTCAAGGGGAGGTGGTCAGGGCCAGAACACGGATTACGTCCTAAAAATTTCTGTAAGTCTTGGCGGCCTCTCAACTCATACCTCAAACAATCCAATGCGCTTTAGTTCACGAGAAAATATACTATGATACCATACTGAGTTCAAAAGTAGGTACTGGATTTTTGAAGCTGTGATAAAGCATATCTACATGGTTACAATGTGTTCTGGGTTCTGTGCGACTGTGTATCGTTTTTTATCTACTTTTCTAATATTTGTGCTTTTTCTAACCACATAACTAGTGATACAAGTTATAGAAACGTACTAGTTGCTTCGGACTTATCAATTACTAACTTCTTATACATTTTTATGGAAATACATTTAAAGTAAAGTGAGACACTATGCGTAGAGCAAGATCTCATATTTAAAAATATCTTTAACTTTTCTGCTAATTCTATCATAAGGCACGCGTACTGCATCAATTGTGAAAACGTAGCATCATCTAAAATATGGTGAACTACAGAATGTGTCGTTGATCTCCTCCATGCGATGTATGCTTTTGTTGTCAAGTTAACAACAAAAAATGGTATACAAGTGTATTAGGAGACGTCAGACATTCTGTACTCGTAATTTATCATGAATTTAGTGTTGCTTATCGCCTATGATACTATGTATGTGGTTTGCGTCAAAATTAAAACGAAAATGACCTTGTAAGCGCTAACATAAAATGTGTATGAAGAAGTATAAGGAGAGAGTCCCAAGAAATCGGGTATAGGTAGTGCTTCTATATCTTGAATAACAAAATATGAAGTCAACATAACACAGACAGTAAAATGATATATCAAAATAACTTGCCGCCTCGATGAAGCACATTGAAACATACTATAGCTAATACATCAAGAAATAAGGACCTTTGAACATATGTAACTCTCACAGGCAATCTTAATTGACTAATTACCCGTAAAATAGAGCATATTGGACCAAATTTTGTTGAGCTTTGAGTTAGGACGTCAAGACATACTCACAGGGATCATTGAACAACGCCTGTGCTCCTGTCCTGACGACCCCTCCTGATAAGAGGAAAACTACATGTAGAAAGTTCCAAATCAAGCTTTGCAATTTTGCAACTTTATGATTTGGTACAGTTAAGTAAGCCACAGCCACTATACACGTTTCGTTACATACATTTTGTTTCTACATTAAAATAGAACCCTTGTTTCATACTCACCTGTATGTGTCCTCATATGCCTCTTGAGCAACGAAGGTCTGTCGAAGGCTTTGCTGCACACCCCACAAGGTAGGAGCGTCCTCTCTCTAGGCCTCGCTCTGGGTGTGGGTGTCGACTCTGGAAGGTCGCCTTGACTGCTCGCTGCCGAACTATCACCGGACACTGACTTGTGTTCATCTTCTGTGGCTGACGGAGGTGAGCTGGATAGGGCTCTTGATAGGAGGGACATTGAGAGATCGAGGGGAGAGTCTGGAACAAATACAATATAATATTATATGATATTTTATAAGCTTTTATTTAACTTGACCTATTTGTTACGATTTGTGACACAAATCTTGGAACATAATTTTGAACCAGTTAACCTTGTCCAATTGAGCTGTGATTGTGTACACACCTTTGGTTTTCCTGACAAAATAATTCAATTGATAACAAAAAGAAATAGAGATTGAACATTTTTTCAGATTGAAAATATTCAAACGAAAGTAAAACCCCTTCATCTCAAACTATCGAATAAAGCCTGTTACGTCTTGAAAGCAGGAAGGCACGAGTATGTAGCACGGTTTTGAATATCTCCATTTTTCAATTTTTGGTTCGTTTTATTATTAGATCAACAGGAGCTTGTTTTTAAAATGTATTTTTTATTTTATTTATTATACTCTAATCATATTAGACGAATATACCCCTAGTTTGAGAGATAATTTAAAGCTTGGTTTTATTGCAAGTTGTTCAAGGGGGTATTTAAAATATGGTCGCATAAAATGGGTACACCAATTTTTGTGGGAAAACTTTTTATTCGTCAACAAAAAATGAGAAAACGTGTTTTTTGAGATACAATCTAAAGTGTTGTCGGGAACCAAAAACTCTTCAAATCAGACTTTTAGATTTATGAGACTTACAGGGTGAGAGCACACGTAAAAAGATCCAACTGATAGTAAGAAAGTTATGGGCGAAAACCAAGGCAAAATGCAGGTTTTGGCACTTGCTGCTAATGCGACGCTAATTTTACGCAGCTAATTGAAATCCTTCATATACGTAGGCTTCATACTTCTAAGTGATCACAACAAAATTGGAGACGATTGGTCTAGTAGTTTTTGAGAATTTCTAATTGCTTATTCCAAAGCCATCACTACTAATTTATTGAGCAATATACAGGGTTATTTCAAAGAGCATTTTAT